CTCTGAGGAAACAAAAACTGGAATAGAAATATCTACTTTCCATACCTCAGTTAAGAGCCATACAACCTCCTCCCCACAGACATTGTATCAAATCTACCAAAGATACTGTTCAAAGAACACTTTCCTTACACAAATAATGTATTGCAGTGCTCCCACCATCAGAGAATGTGGTTTTTTTATTGTATGCTCTTAAAAGAAAGCAACCAACCAAACCCCTCTATATTTAGACTGAATTTTCTCTTCCTTGGCATAAAGCCTTCTTTCTTAGCTGTCTGTTCATCACTCCCAGGTTCTAATACACATGCAAGAAAAATACTGAAATAAAAACTGTGCAAGAACAGGGAGAACTACAGATTGCTCTGCAGGGTTCAAGGCTGAGCGGTTCTGATTTGCCTGAAATTAAAGGGAATTACTGGGTGTCCAGATTTTTTTTTTGACACCTCTGAAAGTTTTCTAAACTTAGACTGATGGCAATCTGACTGTATCTGCCCATTAGACACAAACACACTCATACATAATTAGCTAAGAAATCATCTTTCCTAGTTCTCAGAAGGATTGAATAAAACCCATCCATTTTTCCTTTACGTCAATAAATAAACCTAAGCATGCAACTACATTTCATACAGAATTCTTCCTCTTTTTGCCAGCCTACTGGTGTTTGTCCTCTGTTTATACCAGCAGAGCTCTAACCAACAGATCTTTCCCACCTGCCCATTTCCAGTTAGAGTTACTCAAAGAAACAGAGAAGGGGAAGGCATTATTTATTATATATTAATATATTAAAATTACACATTAGTGAGAGGTATTGCATAGCTCTGTTCCAATAACAGCAGTTGAGGAAGTTCCTGATGTCAAAGGATATCAAATTAGTTAAACAGAATATTGTTGCTATATACTTTAAAGCAACTGTGAAGGTGAAAGACATATATACTATAGTATATATATACACACTATGGTATGTAAAAGTAGCTCTGTCTCTACCAGTATTACTATAAGCAGTAGAATCGAGTAGAATGAAGGACTGGTAGGTATCCTATAGTCGTACAGAGTCTGCAATGAGCAATATGAAAATATAAAGTATTTTATGAGCAGTCAGGAATACTTTTATAGCTTTGAAGTATGTCTCATTTGCTCATGTTATTAGAGGGCCCTATAAAATCCAATGGGTGTTAATGTGGTGTGACATACTGTTGGATAATTTTTAAACACTTTTTAATGTCTGTGTGGTGCCTTATTCATATAAACGCCTTAGTATACAGACAGACCACAGCACCTCTGTGGCATGAAAATCTAATTCAAATGGAAGCTTTTACCAATGCAACGTTTGGCATTCCCCAGTGTACCTCGACTTAAAAGCTGCATGCTTTAGGTGTTGAGTCCTGTGGGTGTCTGGATAATGTCAATGTTATCTAATCTTTGGTATTTTTAGACACTTGATCATCACTCATTTATTTTGATTTGGGGTCACCAGACTGACTGCACATACAGATGCATTTAGAAGAACAGACTGAATGCAGAAAGCTGGCTTTACTAGTGCAGCAGGCTTGCTTTTCAAAATTAGGTGCATGAAGTCCTCATTTGCTACGATTGTGCATGCAGATGTATTAACTGTATTCACCGTGGTCGCTTCTATGTCACAGCTCTGACCTTTTTGCTGCACAGCAATATGAAGCGATAATAGCTGGTATGGATTAATCAATCACCTCTCTCCCCAGGGAACAGTGCTGCTTCCAGTCACAAGCATACTTGGATGAAAAGCATGTTTGTCTTTTCCCTCAAAGACCAAACCAATAAAAGGACCAATTTCTTTTTTAAGAGGAAGGAGGTGTAAAGGGTAGGAAAGCTGTGTGAGCCAAGAGATCAGGGCCAAGGTGAAGGTCCTCCTGTACTTGTTGGAGGCAGATTAGACGGCTCTCTCACTGCCTTTAAAAAAATACAGATGTGTCTGAGGGGAGGATCTTAGCGTTCCGGACCAGACACAGCCTCACAGTGTGATGTGGTGGTGTCACTCCTCAGTGACCTGTAGTAAGGGCATGCATGCCCAGAAGGTAAGGTCAGGGAGCATCTGTTTCCAGGTGCTAAGGTATATTTGCTAAATTCACAACCTATGATACTTTGAGAGAACTTGTTAATGTGCTTATACCCTGAGGTAGGGCTGTGACCCTCTTCACAAAATCACAGAGCTGCTGAGGCTGGATGGCATCTCTGGAGATTGTCTACAATACACCCATAGAGTAAAAAAGATTCTTCTTATGTTTGAATGGAATTTCCTGTATTTCAGTTTGTGCTTATTGCCTCCTGTCCTTTTCCTGTCCACCACTGAGAAGAGTCTGGCTCCATCTTCTTTACTTCCCCCATCAGATATTGATACACATTGATAAGGTACACTTCAGCCTTCTCTTGTCCAGGCTGAACAGTCCCAGTTTTGTATCATCTACAAGCTTGTGGAGGGTGCACTCTACCCATCAGCCAGGTCAGTAATTAAGATGTTAAACAATATTGTCCCTAGTATTGACCCCTGGGGTAGACCACTGTTGAGTGGCCTCCAGCTGGACTTCATGTCACTGATCACACCACCATGATCTCAGCAGTTCTGCCAGCTTTCAGTCCACCTCACTGTCCATTTATTTAGCCTGTACTTCATCAGCTTGTCTGCGAGAATGAGATCATTGCCTTGTGACTGCACACAAACCTCCAACTGTCTGTTCTCCATGCTGTGTGTGTTAGTGTACAGACACTTCAAAGAGTGCTAAGCAGCCTAGAAAAGGGATGAGTGCTTTCCTTGTGCTGTCCTATGGGTGCTTCATTATTCATGTGCATACACTTGAAGTGGGCCCCATTTAGCCCTGTTATGTTGATTATGAGATTTCTCTTGTCCACATCACCCTGTTCACTTCACTTGTCCCATTGGTCCACTATTTCCTCACTTGATTGTTGTTCCTCATCCCGCTCCCCTGTTGCTCCTAATTTAAGGCTCTCATCACCAGTTGACTAGACTGTAGGCAAAAATGCTTTTGCCCTGGTTAGTCAGGAGGATCCCATCTCTTCCAAGAAGTCCTTGATCATGAAAGATGCTCTCATGGTCATAAAAGCCAAATTCCTGTCGCTCATACCAGATGCACAGCCAGTCCTTGACCTCCTGGCTCCGTCCAGCCCTCCTCAAGCCATTTCTCCTCACCAGCAGGATTGAGAACACTTGACCATCGCCCCTTCCAGGATCTTCCAGGATCAAACTGAAACTTGTTATTTTTGTGAACATGATGGACAGTAGTTTTTCATGGATTTACTTCTCATGGCAGAAAAAGCCATTTCTACTGCTCACACCCCTTCTCTCTCATTTCATCCCCATGCAACAGATGAAATCAGAGTTGGAGTATGATACTCCATGAAAGAAGGGCAGCACAGCCTTTGGCTGATACTATGCTTGCTGTGCTAGCAGAGAAACTACAATCCTGTTCGTCCTCCCAACCACATCTGTCCCTGGAAGTCATGGCTAATGCTAATGCTTTCGCAGGCCCATGGAAGAATGTTGTCCTCGTTCAAGACATGGCATGCTGTTTGTGTGGTATTTGCTTTTCCTCTAGAGAAAGAGTTACTGAAGCATTTTTTCTTACACTTGTGTAATATAAATAAATATTTTTGGATGCAGGAAGCTAACCTTTCCCTAACCTTTGGGAGTTGGTGTCCAAACTTCCTTGGGTTTGCCAGAGTAATCAGAAAGGCAAACAAGCTGATGGATGAGCTTTATTCATTGACCTGTCTGCATTCCTGCCTAGCTCTGCATTTTAACTGATTGTGTATTTTGGGTCAGCAGATTTATACAGCGCACACTTCATTATCCAACAAGCAAAGAATACTCAGAAGTGATCTTAAGTAGTGCAGATCTTTATGCAGTTTCTGGGTTATTCCTGGATGGCTCATAAAGGTTTAAAATGCAGTGAAAATGAATCAGCATAGATTTACGCTAACAACTTAAGTAGTCCTTTGCTTTTAAGTTAGCATGGAAAGAGGGGATGTCAACGAGTGAGTTTGCATCTTCTCTCTTGGAAGTGGTCTGACTGACATATTGGGGAGCACTTGAGTGCTTTTGAAGGCACAGACCAGGACTAGATAAGTGACAGAAAGTTGAACAAGGCTTTTTTTGCCAACATAAGTCATTCCCACACTTTGTTCTGGGACAGACATCTGGTCACAGAGGACTCTTCAGTCATCAAATCCTCCCTAGGCAAATATGGTCTAGTCCTGAAACTGAGGTGTGCAGCCTCTAGCCTTCAAAGTGGCCATTCGCCAAGTTCAGAAACACACATCTTCCATCTGGCCAAGGATATTTCATTGTGTTCTTCCTTTGTATCAGCTTGTGGGAACTGTTACAAGCAAAATATGAAATAAGAGCAGTGAATGTATCTTTTGCAGTAAGCATAAATGGAAAATAAGGCAAAAACAAACAGTGGGAATTACTTCCCCTTTATGCCTTCATTTCTTCGTTATTCTTTGTTTTGCTTTTGGGGTTTGAAGTGTGTATAGTAAGTGGCATGCTTAAAGTATTAGCTATCTTACTTTGTTTTCACTATGGACATTGTTGAAATCCTTTAAAAAGAAAGTCCCATATCTTGAAGATGAATAGCAAAGTAATTCTTTGTGCTGGGTAAGAAACTGTACCATGAAAAAGAGTGGCTGGACCATTCTTATAGAGCAGTACTGTCTGACATCAAGCAAGGAAGTGCTTAAATGCCAGGGGTGATGTCTCCTTAAAAGAGGTGACTGGTACAGAGAAAAATATACTCACATAGCTTAGTGGCAGAGTGAGGAAGGAAAATGTAACCCTGAGGAGAGCCATTCTGGAAAGAAAGCCAACACAGGGGTGTGTGAGCTGCTTACCCAAGTGTCTGCATTGGCTTCAGCTCCACAGAGCTGTAAGCATCTGGCATGGGGACGTGGGACGTGGTGCCTTCACGCTTCCTCCAGACTCAGTACCTTTTTGGCTATTTTTCTCTTTACAGGAACCCAGACCTTTGTATAACAAAAGGTGCCAGTTTTATTCAAGTGGAATAGGATTCCTATACGATGCCTACCAGACAGAGGTAAACAAACTCACCTCATCATGTGTTCATTGCTGCTATGCTTTGAGGGGCTGGGGAGGAGGGAGGCAGGTGTTTGAGAGCATGTCTGTGCATGTAGGTCACGGGTTGATAGAAACCCGACTGTTTTTTCTCCCACAAGTGACTCCCCGCTCTACTCCAAGCCTCTGGTGATTGCAAATCATTACAACCAGTGAGGTTTTGAGTCATCATCATCAGTGTTTCTATCCAGTACATTACTCTGAGACTGGAATGTTTCCTAGTCCATCTATACTGTATAATAGCTGTCTGGAATGTATTTGTCACATTGGCATCTTTCTCTAAGGAGGTTTTTGTAGACTTCAAGTGGAATAGGAAATATCTAAATTAATCCATTTGCATTGTCCAGAAGACTTCAAATCTCCTCTGTATTTATCCAGCACAGGCCAAGAATGTCAGTGGTTTGAATGCAGCTTTTTTATTATCTCAATGACATTAACATGGTCGGAAAAGTGCCCATACCCAAATGGCTAGCCTCCTGAGAAGTCCAGATTTAGTTTCTTTTCCTATTTTTCATTTTGTTATTGTGGTAAATTGGTGGGAGTGAAAAGAAAATCAAGCAGAGCAGGACTGAGAACAGCTAAACCCAGATGTCCTTCATCACCATTCCTCCCATGGCTGAGAAACAGTGTATGGGGAATGTTACCATTAATAATTCTAGACAGCTTAGCAAAGTATATTACCAGGGTAAGGAGCTAATACTCCTTAAATCTTGCTGCTAGGGCACCCCATTGTTGATTCCAGAAAATATATGACAAAAATATTTCATTGACCTCCTTGCCTGAAGACCTACCCAGACAAACTTATGATCTGTGACAACACCCTTTCCTGTAAGTTTTAATCCATCCTCTTCTAAAGTGTGCATGCACATTCAGACACAGACATGGCCTGAGAAATGCTTCTGATTCCTGTAATAGCCTGTAGCTAGTGTCACACTGACCACAACTCCCTGCAGGTGACCCCAGCCTTGGGCTTCTGGCCAGGCAGGCTTCGCCAGCTCTGCAGATTCTGGGAATGTCTAGTTGGGCCACCCAGAGCTCCTTGCTCTATTCTGGCAACCCCTCCCCATCTTTTAAAACTGTAGTTAGTTTGTAATAACATTCTTGTCTGGTTGTCCACTGATCTAGAGTCAGCACGTGCTAATTCCTAGTTAATGATCCGTGGCATTTTAACTTGGCTTTTGCTTTTCCAAAGTTAGCCAGCTAGTGAGCAGGGGACATGCTCTGCATGCCAGGCAAACACCTAACTAGGAAGGCAGATTGTTTACTCAGTGCAAGTTTCCTTTTGATTGCCATCGCTAGCCTGTGAGTGGTCTCCAGCTCATGTAGTTTGCCTGTTTCAGTTCTTCTCTTTGCTCAAAGCAGAAAGAATTTAATTTTCTTGCAATTACCATGAGGTGAGAACATCTCTTCAATTGGTGCTGAGGGGATAGACAGGCATAAACATCCAGAACATGAAAAAGCTAAATGTCTGGTCACTGAAATGAAATAATAGGTCTTGACATGCAGAATACCCACAAATGGCCTGTTTCCACCACCCTTGCTCACACCACACAGTAATTTGTTTATTTTGGTTTATTCACTGTTCTCCTAAAAAGGAGTGTCTTGCTCTTTGCATGTTTTAAAAATGCAGTGATAAAAATAGACAACTACAGTAACTCCCCTAGCCAATAATGTGTCTTGCAGCTGAGAGGCAGCTAAAAACATGTTTAAGATCTTGCTGATCTCCCTCTTTTGTACCTCTAGCCTTCTGCAGTAAAAAGGGGCAAACTGGCCTTATTGATGCTTGGAGAGGGGAAAACTACTTTTATTTCCTATCAGAAGTGGTCCCCAAAGCCATGCATCAGGACAAACCACCTTTTTAGCAGCCCACTCCATCTTATGAAGCCTTCCAATCCCAATCATGCACATGTAATGGGAAAAGGGTATTTTAACTATGGAGGTGCTAGCCATTTTGACTGCATATAGAGGGTGAAACCCAAATTCTTTGGTTCCACTCAGTGCAAAAGCACTAGGGCATCCCAACAAAATGGCTGTGGTAGCGGATGCATTGGCACACTCTGCTCCAGGATCAGTTTTCAAACTGCTTTGAGAAGTAGCCAGGTGTGATGTTTCAGGCAGTTCTGAGTGGGATCTTGATTAAGCCAACACAGTCGTCAATGGTAGCACCCTCCTCTTCTGCAGTAAATTGCAGCTTAGGCTGAGGATGGCTGCAGCTGAATGTGACTTCAGGCCAACAAAGCACTTATGTGAAATTCTGGTAAGTTCAGACACAACAGAACAAGATTGATGAAACGAGGTCCTGTCTCAGGGTGAGATATTCTTGTGACAAGTGGATGTATCTGTATCAAGCTGTGAGCTCCATTTCCAGATTGCAACCTAGACTGAGACTGTCCTTTTATAACCTGACTTCCATTTTGGGTTAGAAGAGCTGATTTGTATGAGACACTAACCACAGGTACAGCCTTGTCCTGGGCAGCAAAGCAATCCCAAGGCATCATTTTAACTTCCTTTTAACTTTAGCTCTGTCACCCAACTTCCACTGCTCAAGCAAATCCTGCTAAGGACAAGTGTGGCAAGTCTGAGACCAGCTGCAAGATGAACTTTCTCTGGTGCTGAGTGGGTGTGTTTAAGGCTTTGCTTTTTGCTGGTAACAAACACGTGAGGAGTACAGACTCATCAACAGTGGCAGTTTTCACACTAAAAAGGATACACAGATCCCGAACTGAGGAGCTGAGAAACATCTGGTTTAACATCTCCTGTGGAGACTATCCCACAGACAAACACATTCATGGCTAAACAGAACTGACAGAAGCTTTTCTAAAGCAGTCATGTATTCCTAAGCGTGCTTCTACTTTTTCATTATGAGGAATTTTCCATTCAATAATACATTTTATTTGCATTTTGCGAACAAAATACTTCTTAGTGGTTACAGTCCACTTTTTTCTATCAAAATAAAAACTATAGAAAGAATGTATTTTCTGACCTGCTAGCTTTTAAAACCTGACAGTTCTCCAGGATTTCAAAGTCAATAAGCTAAAAATCTCAGGGAAAAAAAGAGCCTTACATATAAAATATTTCAATTGGTCTGTAGTGCCAAATAGAAGTGATTAATGCTTACCACACTTAAGGAGTCATTAAAATGATTTCTTGTCTGGATGGAGAGCGGCTTACGTGTGCCTACCTTTATTGTTCTAACATCTGCCCATCCCTGCAATTCCTGCTCACACAAATAAACCTTTTCAGTTTTCTATTCAAGAGCCTGCAGTAAATGGCACTTATTTGCTGGAGTGCTTGGATCTTTTCTGAGCGGTTTTGTTTGTGGGTTTGGAGATTGTTCTTCTTGTTGTTCCTAACTATTTCCTTCTTCAGGAGGGTGTTACTGAAAGGAGCGAGCTCCCATTATTGGAAGCTGTTCAGATAAATCGGCTTCTTTGCCCATTTTCCCACTACAATGGAGTGGTATTCTTACCCACTTCAGTGGCTTGCTGTGGTGTATCTTTCAAGACCCATGGTCCCTGCGTCACAGCCGTAGGGATCCGCATCTCACAGCTGCAGACTCTGGGTCTCAGCAAAACAGCACCAGGCAGTGCAGCAAAGGGCTTGAAAACTCCGGCAGCCCTGTCTGCAGGTCGCTGCTGGGGACTCTGGGCTCCATGGGGCAAATGCCCCGAGAGTCTGGGGCTGACATCCCAAATGAAAGTCCTGGGAGCTCAGGGATGTCCTTCTGCCCTGCAGTCGTGGATTTTGGAATCTCAGGATCTTTCTGCACAACAGGTAATAAAACCTAACACTGCAGTAGCTGCTTCTTTGTGGTCAGTACGATGATTCACATAACACTGAAACACTGAGAATAAAAGTCAGTCTCTTTTTTTTTGGCAGGTGACATGCTATACCTTAAACAGCAAGTGCCAGCTGAAAGTAAAAAGCAACACGTGCTATTGCTGTGACCTGTACAACTGTGAGAAGTAAGTACCTGTGTGCAGTCAATAGCCTCTGAGAAATCCTTGGCTGTTTGTCCCTCCTCTTAAATGTTGGGGGGGAACGGGAGGTGCCCTTAGGCCGGGAGAAGCAACACAAGGGACTTGCATGCTGAGCGATCCAGTTCCTCCACAACTGAAGTCCTGATGCCAGCAGAGAAGAGGTCAGGGGTTGCATATTAGTGTTGGCATTATTCCAGTTTCTTTTTCTTTAAATATGGCCAGAAGCTCTTTGCTGTGTGATCAAAATCGACCACAGTCATAGCTCTTGTCAAGATTTACTGTTGATGTTGTAGTGCAATTTTCCCATTAGATTTAATGAATCCTTTTTTTTTCTACCAAGCTGGGGGAAACTGAATGAATAGGAACATAGGTGTCCATGAGCAGAGATCATGTTGTAGGCATATGCAGAGCTCTTTTGTTACCAACAGCCTCTGTAGGCATGGAATTTTGCTAAATTGTCATAGGATAGATACAGAGAGTCTTGTGAGTGTTTTCTGAAGCTGTCCATTTGACTTCATCATTACCAAAGCATGAGATGTCAGAAGATAAGAAAGGAAATGTCTGGATATGCTTACAAAGATCAGCCAAAGGTTAGCACAGGGTTGCCATGCATTAATTTAACAGGAGTTAAAAAGGTGATTAGGAAAACTACATCACAGTAAAGTCCAAGGGTTTATAATGTGGAAGACAGATGAACTAGCACAACTGACTGGCCACCTGGCACACAAAGATTTCAGCTGCAAGCAGCATCATGTCTTGCTGCATACAAGAAATGGGGGAGAATTTCCCAGAGCAGATCTTCTACCTGACTCACCCTCTGCGCACCTCAGTATCATCTTATCATGCACAATCATGCAACCTCTGCAACCCTCTACAGTTCACCCACAGTCAGCCTTCTTTCTTTCCCTCTATGTATTTCTCATCTTTCTTCCTTCTTATGTCTCCTGTTTTATTTTGGTTTTGCCTCCTTTTCACATGCTAGCAGCCCTGAATAACCTCAGTCCTCTGTAAACCTTGGCTAGCGTGCTGCCAGACATGAACATTTTAGGTGTAGGGGAATGAGGCTGGCACAATGAGGCTTCTACACAAGGCTTCTGCTCTTGCCCAGATCCTGACTCAACTAGAGATGCAAAATGAAATCTGGGACTAGAGGGAAGTCCTCTATGCATGCATATTTCTCATGCACACAAGAGACACAAAGTGAGTGCCATTGTCAGCAATCCACAGTGCACAGCAAGATTTTATGGCACTGGCATGGACAAATCTGGAGTAAAGAAGCAGTCTTGCTGCTCTACAGACTTGGCAATTCCAGTTCGTAGGACAGCTACAGAGAAGTAGAACGAGACACAATCTCACAAAGTGACCTTGTGTCAGTCATGCAACAGACCGGTACACAGGCAGGATTGCGACTCAGATTTCCTCAGACTCACGGCAGCTGAAGCTAGAGGTTTATTTAGTTGAGCAATGTCTGGGCTCATGATAGGGCTTAAGTGAACTCAACGGTAGTGGATCTGCAGTGCCAGAACCATGCCCCACAACAAATAATTGGACATTTCCAGGAATTGCCGTGCTCGGCTTGGTTCTTCCCAGAAATGTTGTGAGTTTCTCCATGCTGATACCTTCCTCTGCAGAGCTTTCCCTAACCACCATCCCCACTTACTGCCCCATGGAGGAACAGAAGAGTGAGCACAAACTTCTCACTTCTGGTTTCCACCATAAGCTGATGGCAATTTCCTAACAGTACAAAACCAGACTTGGCATTTAAAACATCTTTCCAACTCAAATAGCTGTTCTAGGAGCTCGTTAGTGGGCTAGCATTAAGGCAGGTACTGGAAAGAACCACAGGAAACTGTGGTTTCAAATTTTGCAGTAGGATATTTCTGACTTTCAGCAAGACAATGAGGATTGACTGCACAACATGCCTGATTTACAATAACCAGTGCAATGTAGGAATAGAAACAAACAAAGATTTCTGGATAGTACATTCCATAGTGTAAAGGCACAACTTTATACTGTACTGTTAATTTGGAACCGCATCTGTTAATTTGGAACCACAGACACCATAAACAAATGTAGCCAGCTGGCAAAATCTCCCTTCCTGTGGTTGAATTAATGCTTAAGCAACTTGCCTTTCCCAGTGTTAAAGATGCTAGAAGATTTCCAGGTGAACTGGCAAAACAAGCAGTGTGAAGCATACTTTAGCTGGTAGCTAAATGACAAGGGCAGCATCCATATGCCAGGACTATGCCTGTGTTCAGAGACCCTCAGAAAAAAAAAAGAAAAGAGTCCCTGCTGGTGCACAACAGCAATCAGCCAAACTAGGGTTGGTATTCGTTGGACTACGTGTCTAATGCTGGCATTAACAGAGCCAATATTTGTCTAGAGTAGAGCTTTCTCCAGTTCATCTGAGCACTCTTTGGTGGGAGCATGGATGAAGTCCTTTGCCAAAGAGGAAAGTAAGCAGGAGGGATTCAGATCCTCTGGTGCTCTGTATTATATGCAAAACCATTCCCACAGCAGTGACGTTGTCTGCATTCCCTTTCAGTTCAGAGCAGTCTGCCAGCTACTATGAATTTCTCGGCGTGAGCGGCTGTCAGGACGTGGTTCACCTCTATAGGCTGCTGTGGTCCTCCACAGTCCTCAACATCATCGGGTTGTTTCTGGGGATTATTACGGCAGCCATTCTTGGGGCATTTAAAGATATGGTAAGGCTCAGTCTTTTGCCTTCTGTGAGGACTTCTGTGCTTGTTGGTGTTATCAAGCAGGTTAAAACCAAGGAAGCGTAAGTGTACAAAGGAGACACTTTAAACATGTTGCCTGTGTGATCTGGGAGTCTGGAGTCATATCTTTAGGCTAAGCTGTTGCCAGCTGCTCACAGCTAAGTAGGTCAAGCCTGGTCAAATACATGATTGGAAGGGAAAAAACAGGCGTCTGTGTGAACAGATGCTGGCAATTCACTTAGTGGCTCTTTTTTTCCCTCTAATTCAGCACTGAACATGTGGGCCAGCACAGAGTTTGAGGATGTGAGTTTGTAGCTAACATGTAAAACTCAAGTCCTAGGTGTGACTATTTAACCTTATGTAGATCTTTTCCCAAGAATGGGGATTAACTCAAGTTTTTATTTAAATGGTTGTAGTCAGGTCACATTAACCTCCTCTTGTTTCACTAAGGAATGCTATCCTCTAACTGCTCCCTGTGCCACAGCACCATGTGCTGCTGTGCACCACTGCATTCAGAAGAGGCCGTGTGCTAGGAGGGATTCTGTAATACAGTGCCTCATCTGCCTACATTTTCTGACATGTTAAAAGGGTGAAGTTGCTGTTCCTGGGATTATCACTGTCAGTGGTCATGTTTGCTAAAGCACTGCCTAAAGACCAAGTGGCTTATGATTTACTAGGCACTCAGAAGAGTAGATGGTCCCAGCCCAAAGAGCTTCCAAACTAAACGGGCAGAGGCATGGGGATGGGGGTGAAGTACAGGAGCCAAAGGGAGGTGTGATAGCAGCACAGGTCATCTTAGATCCATGAAGTTTCTGGTGACTGTTCCAGAGGAGAAAACTAAATAGAAAGACAGGGGAAAGGAAAGAAGAGAGGGATGGAGCAGGGAAAAGAAACCAAGAGAGACGGGTGAGGTGTGCGCTGGGGAGGGGGCAGACTAGAGAGAAGGGGCTGCTCAGAGCTGGCAGCCAGTGAGCCAAGGACCCAGTGAGACTGGAGGCCATCCAGGCCCTGCTCTGACCCCCCAGCATCCCTTAGCAAGCAAGTCTAGGCTATCTACAACATGTGTCGGGTGCTTAAAACCATGTGACAGAGCAGAACCACATGAATTATTTGAAATTCACCTTTGTTAAGTGTTGCAAAATGTTTGCTGGAAATATTCCTCTCTCTAGCTTAAGGCAAACAAGCACACTGAGCCTTCGCATGTAAGAAATGTGCAGCTGCGCTGTCCTTTATGTGAGGGGACTCTTGCAAGGACTTGATAACAAATTGCAGCCAGCCAGTGAAGAGTTGCAGCTGCTTGATGGGAAGGAGTGGAAGCAGCTTTCCCAGCTTAATTCATCCCCTCCCTGTGAGAGGAGGAATGGCAGAAGGGGAACAGAAACGATGACAGTGGGAAACGAGGGGAAGAGCTACATGAGGAGAGGAAGGCAGGAATCATCTACAGTAAGTCCTTGGTAGAACACTACAGCTTTCCAGCGCTGCTAATATTTTCCCCTGCCTAGCAGATGGCTGCGAGTGCCTCCACGAAGGGCACCTGTGGGAGCTGCTAGTGCTCCCCTGAGGTGGGGAAGGGTGCAGGGAGCCAGCCTGAGTCCACCTAATCGTCTTACACAAACCAAAGCTTACGTGGGATTTGGGCTGATGCTTCATAGCAGGATGAGCTCCCACACCTCTGTGCTGTGCGGCGGTCGTCACTGCACTGCTTGCGAGGGAAACCAAGGCTAGGAGACATTCCTGGGAGAGCTGGGGTAACCATAGCCTGGCACGTTCCCTTGCTGGGGTGCAGAGCCTGGGTCAAGGATAAAGCCATGCAAGGAAATCGCAGCAGCAGTAGATGTGCAGCTTCCCCTCAGCTTGGCTAGAGCAAGTCTGTCAGGGCTCCAGCTACAAACCTGATCTGAGTAAGCTGTTTAATGTCTCTTCTGCAGCGGGAGCAGAAACAAAACCCTCGCCAGCTTAAGGGAAAGATGAGTTGGTGTCAGTTACCTCAGCACAGGAGCCATGCTATGCTTGTGAAAGTGTTACTAAAGCAGCAATCTAAAATGCAATGATTGCTCCTTGCTCCTGCCTGTGCTTTTTCAGGGTCCTTCTGAGTGACACAGCGGAGCTGGTTTGCTAATCTGCTGCTTGCTTTTGTTATGAAAGGAGTAACTCTTGGGGGAAGACGAAGGCCAAGAAAACATCAAGCAGAAGAGGGAGAGAAGGGGGCATGGGACTGAAATAAGAAAAAAATCCCCTTCAAAACGTGCAGGAGAACAATTTTCTTTCTTTCAGGATGTCACCTTTCCGCTGAAATGTTCACTGGCATTTTGCAGGGAGAGCTGCAAAGCCCGCTGAAGGGCCTCAGGGCATTGCTCCGAGGTTGGCTTCCAGAAAACACAGAGCCAGGCTGACTAGTGAAACAAAAAAACATCGTGTTTATCTCTGGGGAACGCTGGCAGCCAAAACATGTTACAAAGGGGAGAGTTTGCAAAACAGTGCCGTTGCCTCTAAACCCATCACATTTCCTGGACAGAAAAAGAAAAAAAAGTGTTGTTGTGGTTGTTGCGGGTTTTCTTTCTTGTGACAAATTCCCTGCAGACCCTGGCATGCTCCCCGCGGTTTTGCTGCCTGCCAGAGGGCTGTGCTGGCTCAGTGGGAAACATTTCATCCTCTCCTGACCCCCAAGGTGTCAACTCTCAGTGGCTCCCGTGTCACCCATCGGGCCGTCCTCTGTGATCTGTTGGGTGCTGGGGGAGCTGCAGTGGTTACGACGTACCCTCCTTTTCAGATCTACAGTGTGCTGGGATAGAGGATGGCGGCTAGGCAGCTACCTTAAAGTCACCTTTAACAAAAAGCAGATTAAGATATAATGTCAACAGAAGTATGTACTTGGAGTATCCAAAATGGTAAAACACTGTGATTATTTCTTACAGAAGACAGAGATGAAAAAATGCATGGAAAACTTCACTTGCTGGTTCTAAGAGTTAATCTAGAAACTGCCTTCCCTGCCCCGGTATTCATCTGATGACTTGTAGATGTTTTCCTGACACACCTTGCCAAGGAATCTGCCTGCCCTGAGTTTAGGGTTGCATTAATCAGATCTACTGATGGTCCTGGGGGGGTTGCTGGCTTTTTTTTGTTCAATTAGTCTCCTGCTTGGAGTCCTCAAGGGAATCTGAACAGATTAAGTATCATTCCCTTATCCCCTCTCTTCTTCTCTCACCCTGCTCTAAGAAGGAAAACAAAATGAACCCCTAATTACTGAGCTACTTGCTATGTGTTCCTGTCTTAGCACTCGTGCACCTAAGGGTGCAGTCTGACGTTAAAAGTAGTTGTGGCTCAGAAATAAACACTTTGGCAGCAGCTTGCATGGCCGGGTGGGGGGCGGCCAGAGAGCCCCCCCAGCATTACCTGGCTTCCCCACAGCTCCCTGGCGGTTCACAGCTCCTTATCTCTTTGACTTGGGTGGTGGTTCAGTTTAAAATGTCTCCTTCTATTTTGTGTGACGAATTTAACATAGTGTCATCTCTGGAATAGTTGATAAAAGCATTTAACCAGCTTCAGTTCCTGCAAATCATTGCTGGCTCCAGGCTGAGACCGGATAGCTTGATAACAAGGTGCTCTGATGAGTGGATTTGGGGTGGGTGACTCCCCAAAACTGTCTTCTAGGGCTGTCGTGATGTTCATCCTTAGCAATCGGAGAGTGTTGCTGCTGCAGACGGAGAGAATGTAAGAGGACCGAGAGAGGTTCCTGGGAGAAGGACAGCAGCACCCGAAGGGACCCACACCAGAGAGTTGGTGACAGACGCAGAACAGGCATCTGTGCTTCACACTGGGCAAAAAAAAGCGTTTCTTGCCGCCTTTACGTCCATAGCCAGGAGGATCTGATTGCGGCAGGGCCTCCCTCCTCCCAGGACGGGCACTGCTGCTCTGGGCATGGGCCAAGCCCCGGCTGCGGTCGGCCACGTCGCTGGCCCCAAACCTTTGGTCTGAGGCAAGCCCATTAGCTGCTTCTTGAAAGGCAGCGTCTCTCCATTTCTCCCCACCGTATCCACCCAGCCGGGCGGGTAGGAAGGAGGTGTTTTGAGGAGGGTACCTTGAAGATAAGAGACTTGCCTTCTGCCATGAAATAGGCTCTCTGCTTTTGACACTGGCCTTTCTCTGCGCCAGCTCCTGGGGTGCTAAGTGTCTTCAGAGAGCTAAGGCATAGATTGTCAGGTAACCTCATGTGGTATGTCAGTGACCTAGATGATGTTTTTCTTTTACAAACACAATTAATGTACCTCTTTCTCAATCACAGAGAGATCTCACACTATCTCCAGAGGATGCAGTGATTTATGTCTCTCACTGATAAAACTGAAAGGAAATGCCAAAAAAACCCCCAACCCATCCTGGCTGCTGCTTTCAGCATTTGTTTGGCAACCACCATATTTTATTATTTCAGTAAAAAGAAAATTCCATGCTCTCATGTAGAGGAATCTGCTAACAAAAACAAAGGAGAGAAAAGAAACCACTGGATTTGTCTCACTTTGCAAAAGAGAGGGACATGAAAATCTTTCACAGAGCTCTACTGTCCTTCACAAATGGATATATAGCACAGGGTTTTAGGGTTTAACACAAGCCCCCTTTCACATTTAGCTTTTGCTCTTTTTTTTTTCCTCCCCCAGTTGTATTAGCTGGTTTAATATGAGCTGTTACTTCTTCCTGCAAAGCTCCTCTCACATTGCAGTTAAGGGACATGCCGATAAAGCCATGGGATACGATGAAGGATTTTCTGCGGTAGGAATGAGATATGCACGTGGGGGGTGGTATTGGACAGCCAGCAGCAAACTCCATTTCACAAGCGAGAGGGAGCTGTGAAAGAAGAGCAAATGGTCTGGAAAGGGAGACCTTTGTAGATCTGTGTATGAAAGCAGAGAGAAGAGAATGAGGGCATCAGGTAGTTTCTGTTGGAAAGAGTCTGCAGCAGATTGTGAAGGACTGGGTGTTTGGTGCTGGAGTGAATAAGAAGAGGCGGTCAGAGCTACATGCTGTGCTCTTGAGGGTGTCTCGGGTCTGGAGTCCTGCCAGTGCTTCTGTAACTGGTGCTAGGGAAGCACCAGCCGTCTTTTTCCAGGGGAAGAAGATTAAAATAGCTGTGTATTTCTGGTCAGAAAATTCACTCCAGATACACCCTCCTCTCATTCTGTCTGCTCCTTGTTTTCTTGTAGTACTGGTATTGTGCTGGAAAATAGCAAGTTGTTAAATTGCCTAGCTGCTTGTGTTAGGACCAGTTTCTGCTCCAGCCCCTTCTGCACCGTGCTGATAAATTGTTGTCTTCTGTGCTCAACAGGTACCTCTGTCCCAAATTGCTTTCAGTGCTGCACCTCCTCCTCAGATCCTGTACAATCCTGCCCAGCAGATCCTGACATATGCTAGCTTCTGTCCTTCTGCAGCAACTATTTCTACGTATCCATCCTACCCGTTGCCTCTTCAGGTACAGTACAAAACGGCACCCTTCTTACTTCATCAGAAAAGCATAAGCTGCTACTGAGTACAAACTCTGCAGTGGTAGATCTTGGCTCCTGGGTGTTTGAAACGAGGCAAGGAAGTTGGATCCCAACTCTGGGATGACTTAGTCTGGGCCGAGTGCTCAAGTCTGTTCTCAGATCTCAGCTTTTCTCTGGTTGTCCTTTGGACCCTGTCTGCTGACCAGGAATCCCAGTGTGGGATTAGAACCACGCTGCAGCAGTCATGAAGGTGAACACAGCCCCCATGTTGGGCAAGATAAAGCAGCAACAGAGGCACTGAGGAAGCCAAAGGAAGCATCTGATACACACAGGATTTGGCAGAAAAGTTTACACACCTTAGCGCACCTTACTCTTAATATGGAGATAAGTAGACTAGGACTCATCAGACGGAAAGGAGACAAGAAAGGGGAGGAAATGTCTGTGAAATAGGGAGTGTTTTTACACACCAGAGAAGATTCAAATGCCACAGAATGTTGTGGAAGAGTATAAATGAAGGGTTAGGAACATCGGCTGCTGTTAAATACAGGGATTCAGGTGTCACTTGCAGCCCAGCAAGTCCCCACATGGCTGCCTGCCACAAGAACCAACAGGGCCTCATCAGAAGATGGAGCCCTTTTTCTTTTAGCTTCCTATAATCATCTGCTACAGGCCACCGCTGGGAGACAGGTACAGAAAGCTGCCAGAGGTGCAGCTTTCTCCCCTTGCGGGAGGGGATGCAACATGAACGGAGTCAACACTGCTTCGCTTCTTTCAGAAAGATGAGGTGCAAGTCAGGCTCCAAACCTGTGCCGCGTCCAGCCAGAGCTGGCCTGGAAAATGCAGGGAGTGGTGCTGCGGATGGTGTTTGCTTTTTTTTTTCTGCCCCCAAGTGAGGTGAAGAATGTCGGGTGAGCTGGTAAATAGCTGAATGTACTGGGACCCTGAAGCAATTGTAGGAGTTTAGTTTTTTTAAAGCACAGTAAGACTGTTTTGTTCTGTCCAATGGCTTCTTATACTTTGGCTGTGTAGTGCTAGACCAATGGGTACCACAAGTTTTGCAATACTTGTTAATTGAAAACACTGCATGTTTAGCATGAAGTAGCTGTGGACCAGCTCCCCACAGCCTCCTGCGCTACATCTGCTCAGGGCCAAGAAGCTACCAGGCACAAGTACTGGGACATGATGATCATCCACACCAGTGAATTGTTAGCATGCTCCTGGTATGGATTTGGCCCAGACCACCTAACAGTCTCCCAGCAATGCTCAGGAAGGGGTCAGAAGCCGGCAAGGGCAGTTCCCGGTAGGTAGTGTGCATACAGACAGTCACGCTGGTTCGGTGGTAGGAGTTCAGCTGTAGGGATGTGATATGTGCTGTGCCAGTTGGCTTCACAGCCAGAGAACAGTCCTTGGCACGTCTTATTTATTAACATAAATGGGGCCAGGCACTTTTGGAGACCATGGGTTGAGAGGAAAAAAAGAACATCTCTTTTTGTTTGCTTTTAGCTGAAAAGCTGTGCTGTTCTGCAGAGTTCAGTTAGCACGTAGCCAAGAGTAGAGAGAGACGGGGATAAAAACAGATGAAAGAAAGCAGTTAAGCTGAAAAGATGCATGTAAGTACTCATGAGGATCAATTGTAACTGTTCAGTCCTGTGTCTGCTGAGAAACAGAAATATATCATATCTACCCCAAATTCTTAACTGCATTCCAAAACAGAGTACTTTTCCTAGATTTCTGCTTTTTCTAAGAAGTGTGTTCATTTGTCTTCTCTCCCTTTCATAACATCCAGAGGCAGACACCACCAGCTGTCCCCAAGCCAGGAGAGGTTAGCAAGAAGCACTGGGCTCCAAAAGGGAAAGTGCTTAATCCTTTTCCGGGGGGGGGGGAAGAGGCAAGCCACCTTTCTGCATGTATGAGCTCACTATGTTGTAGTTTGGAGAGAAGTAATTTCTGCATCAGTATATGAGTTAAAAAATCATAATAACCTTACTCAAAGCTACAAATGGTGAACATTAGAAGCAGGCCAAATTAGGAACAGCCAGAAGCTTAACCGTTATCCGCTTCCATTACTTGAGAGCTGGGGGCTGAATCCATGGGGCTGGAGGTCTTCATGACCCAAGTGCTCCAAGCAGTGCCCAGCTGCTGGATTCAGGCCTTCATAAGCCCTGCTCAACTGGTCCTAGTCCTTAAGGCAACTACGGGCCCTGGGGCTGGGATTCATCTGGCTAAATGCAGGGGCTGTCGGCACGTAGGGATCTAGGGCTGCCTGATCATGAGATCAGGTAGCCACATGGCCCCTGCTGCCGCTCCGGGAGGGTCCAGGTCCTGTAGTCCCTGTGTCACATCTGTGCGGATGTCTGCGATATCCCATGGCATCCCAAAAGGGCTGGATGCTTACATGTGGGCAACTGAATTGAGCTCTAGCTGTCCATAGTGTAGGAGAGCCTGCCTGAGCTGGTCTACCCTTTAAAATCCAGAGCGAGCCACACGTGGATAATCTCAGGCTAAAGATGTATGATGTGAGTGCTACGAATGCACCCCAAAGGCCTTTCCACTGACGAGGGGTGGGATTCAGTTGCTACATGTCACTATGTTGTGCGCGTAGATATCTACGTTCTCAAGCCTTCAACTGAGACACCAAAATCCGAGGCTGAACCCTGTGTCCTAGGGGTGCAGTTCAGTTGCCTAAAGATACAGCTGGTTGATGTGGGCCAAGGTCTACACGAGAGTCACACACACTTCTGGAGCAGCTGGCAGAGGGTGCCCTTGGGCATCTCAAAAGGCATAACGTTTTTGCTTCCACATAGACCAAGATCCACATAAAGGCCCCGAGACACACTTCTCAGCGTCCCCTTTGGCTCACCGAAGGTTTGGCTAAACACTGTCCCTAAGCCCCTGCATTTCACGTCGTCCTGTACCTGCCCCCAGCTGGGGCAGGGTCACACGTGCCGGTTCCATACAACAAAAGGAGCAAAACCTTCAGCTAAGAGTTAGGGAAGAAAAAAAGTGACTCGATGCCACCTAATGAAGTAAAGCAGTTAGCAATCAATTACCAACTAATAACTCTAGTTTGAACCCTCACCTTAACCAGAGGAAATCCACAGCAGTAGTTCCTCCTCCTGGGAACATATCCCACCTTGGCTTAGTCTGGCATGCAACACGCCTAGCCTAAGCGCTGCCCCCACTTGCCTGGACCGGAGCTCCGTTAGCTCAAAGACTGTGAACCCACGTTCAGCTGTGGCTCCCACCACTGAGCACATTCATTCCTAATCTTCTGCTGAATCCAGTCTCTCACTGAATAACTGCTTGCTGGAGGGGCAAACAGTCTTTAAGAAAACCACAACCTGAGCTGGGGGGTAAACGCTCCTCAGTTCACCTCATGCTTCCTTGTCCACAAGCAGATGTCATCCAAATGCAAACAAGAAAGGGTGGTAACAGGAATGCATTTTTGACAAGGATGTAACCAGCATTTCTTTTGTTTACTGTGGCGTGTGCTAACAAAATTGCTCATCCCTTACTGGTACAGTTCAGTCACAACTAGTCTGGGGAACAGGCCCGCCAACTGGTCAGGTAAATGATTAGCTGTGCAGGGACTGGTGGTGATGACAGCAGTAAAGGTTGTGCCAGTCATTCCTGCCAGAGGAGAACGCGTTACAGAAGCAATTCCAGGCAGACAGATGGAAACAGTGGCTGCAGTTTGAGGGGGGAGGGAAGCAACAACTCCAAAATAAATAAAAAACCTCCTCAAACCACCCAAAAGCACAGTAACTACGTTTGGAGCTGAGCTAGCTAGCAGGTCTGTCGGTGTACCTGCACTGCCTCCTGCAGAGTTAAAGGGCATCACCGACCTTCCTGCCAGGACGTCCCCATTCTGTGTCACCCTGTTGTACAAAGGCAGGACAACGTTCTCCTCGCCACGGGGGTCTGACCCACAGCAGCGGCCCCTGCTCACCCGGAGCCCCACGGAGAAGCCAGGCCCCGTAGGCAGGGGTCTGCCAGCCCTGGGCAGCTCTGAGATGCCACTGTCCAAGTGCCAGCCCTGGTACTGGTCTTCTAGATGGTCACTATATAAATTTTTTTAGCAGCAGGGAGCAGCACTTACTTGCCCGGATTTTTCATTTGCCTTGAAAAAGATTCATGATTACTACTTTTTGTTTTGTTTTTTTTTTTAAATTCAGGCACTTTAGGCCTGAACCTGCGGGGAGCTGAGCACAACTCTTCTGGTGAAGCCCATGGACTGGCATATGAGGGGAGGAGTGAAATCCCGACCCTCTTGAAATCAATGACAAAACTTGGTTTAAAGCAGTGGTAGGATTTTATCCAGAACATTAGTCCCTACATGTATTCTTTTGTTTTAACAAACTCTGCTTGTTCCTGAACATGGGCTGCTTCCTAAGCTCTATCTATTTTTCGTGCCTCTTTCAGCCAAGGCCCCTTTATAGCTGAGACAGCCAAAGTGAAAGACCTACAGGGAGACACATGCCTACCTATAAAATTTTCTCTTAGGAGGAGTCTGCATTTAGCACAGGAATAAGACCTTGAATTTATGCAAGTATTATAAATGAGATTAATTATACCTGGGATAATTTAAATTTCACAGTGATGCCTGGAAGCAAGCAGCTACACTTAACCTAATCAGCCAGTCAGGTGCAGTGCGTCACCCAGGAAGCGAGAGCATCTTTTCCTGCAGAAATTCCTGTTCTGCTCCATTGCCTAGCTGTAAGCGCAATGTCTGTTAGAAGTGACTTGGGTTACAGATGGAATCTGTCTTGTTTCACTAGACGCCATCATTGCTATACTTAGGCAGGTGCTTTAAAACTAAAGTGAGTGTTGTGCTGCAATGCATGGGAAATTTAATCATGGGACTTTTATATAACACTTAACGCAGGGCTGCAAATCGGGTTGTAATCCTTTACTGAAGAAGGTATTTTTCTTTGTCTCTATACAGCCTGCCAGCAATTTTCCAGGAACATCATCTACTGACATTTCTTTATCAGAAGAAACTCAGCCTCCATCTCAGTCCAGCTCCAGCTATGGTCTTCCCCCCAATGCTCCAGCCGTCTATACACCGACTTACTTCTTGCCTGGAGAAAAGCCTCCACCATATGCACCATAGAAGAAAGAATTGATTTTAGGGAGCTGGTAGGCTTTTATTTTGTTTTTTAAGAAACCTCTGGAAACTGTGCTGTGCAGGCACTAGACTTCCCAAAGAACCCACCGCAGGGTGCGTTACGGCCACTCTGCTTTTACTCGCATCTCACTGTGAGCAGAGCAGAACCCTGGAAATGGAAGGGCAGGCACGTCACTGGGGGGTGACCAGTCACCACCCAGTTTGCCTGCAGTCAAATGCAGTGTTGCTTTCTGGCTACCATAAGCATGAGATGTTTCCTTCTCAGTACACTGCAGAATGAATTTTCTTCAAGAGGAGAAATGAAGAAAACACTCCGGATACGTGTTCTGCTTTCATAAATCAGTGTAGAGGGGTTCTAGTCTGTGTTGTCTGAGTGGGTAGTTGGGAGCTCTCCGGGTCAATATTCTGGGTAGGAAGAGAGCAGGTGTTTGTTTGCTTGTAGCATTTATTTAATAACCCTTTTTGGTGAAAGTGTTGTACCAATAAAAGTGTGGCGATTATTTTACAATAAAATTGACTGTGTATATTTATACTGTACCTAAGGCTGTGTGTATTTGTAAGGACAGGAAAACAAAAGAACAGAGGAATAGTTCCCTCTTTCAAGTTTCCAACAGAAAGGTTAATTTTCTTGGGACTATTTTATCAGAACTTTGTGCCAGTCTAGTCTGCAAAGTAAAATGTCATGTCAGTGTGCTAAAGGTGCAATTTCCAGCCAGGTATTTTAAGCTGCACTTTAGTGTTCCAATTAATTCCTTTCTAGTCAAAAGAGGACCGCAACCAAAACCATTCTGTGTTAAACTCCAGTTATTTAAACTGATCAAGACCTGATCCAGGCATTTTACAATGACTGAAAGAGAATGGATGAAGAGTCAGAATTCCTTCATATTGTTTTAAAATTTTCTCCTATTGTATAGAGACAAAAATACGTTGACAAGGCTAAGCAGCAATACCTGTTGCAGTGCCACTGAGAGGAACAAAGTCTTGTCCCCGTTGTGTGCACCCTGCGCCCTCGCTGTGCATCACATTAGCTGGGATCCATCCATCTTAGCACACGGCTGCCGTATTTCGGAGCAGGAGCGGCTACACCAGCATAAAAACCCATCAGACCACAGCATCCCTTCACTGCATTTTGCTCCTGCAGGAAGGGCAGTGGTGCTGCTTGCTCTATAGATCTTACGGTCCAGACAGCCGTGAAGCTATAGAAATTTCCTGAAAGGCCAAAGAGCAAAGCAGAGAAAGGAAGGTATTTCTCATTAACTTTTTAAGCAGCTGCTTCATATTATGAAAATATTAAAAAAAACCCTAAATAAACAAAACCAGCGTACTTGACAGTTTCCTTTGAAAGGAAGTGACACCATCAGACCAGTTGAAAATAGAACAAAGAATGATCATCCTTTTACATAATACTTTCCACCTTTCAAGAAATTTCTGTCAATTCATGTGTTGTACCTCTATGTATAAAAAGCAGATTCAGTACTAATACACATAAGATCAGAGGTTAATTTATATGGACTGTAAAAGCCATATTTTGTTCAATTAAGAAGGTTTTTCTGAGATGCAAAGTTTTAGGCCAGTGCTGTTAACATCAGTGACAAGGTGCCTTAAGTGAGGTGAGCATATGAACCTGGTTGAGAGAAACAGAAATTGGAGAGGAGACCATTACTGTTCTTTTAAAAATTTAACGCATCCAGAATGCTTAGTTCTTGTGCAAATGCATGCTGTGAAGAGCACAATCGCCCTGATCACGACATAAGTGGGACTACACATTTACTTCTTTTTACTTGCTATGAATACTACCAGGGGACCCACCTGCGTTCCTTTTGGGGTTTCAAAGCCCAGAACAGACTTGCTGCCTTTTGAGTTGAGCACCTGGACTGCTAACAGAGCAAAAACAAAATCAATGTTTCTCTTGGGTTGAAGCACAGTGACTGAGGAGGAGCGGAGGAATGCTTATCACTTCTTTCCTCTTTTCAGTGGTATATAGAAGCAGCTTCCTCTTCCTCTAGCGTGGTACTGCTGTAGGGTATTAAAAACAATCCAGCTTGACACAAAAGAACCCCCCTTTTCTGTCATTCTCCAGACTTACAAATTCTGGCTTTCTCTTCTAAACCACACTTTGGGTCAGGGTGCATCGTGGTCTATGCAAAATATCTTCACATACATGCACACATATGCAAAGTCCTGGAGAAATTTTTGCTCTGAATTAGATTGGTTTAGAAAATGGAATTAAAATCTTATACACGTAATATTAAGTCTGAAACTGGAGAGTACCATACTGTACCATAGGATTCACATTTCCAGGATCCAAAATAATTCTGGCCTCATAAAGAGCACCACTTACATTAACACAAAGGTCAGACATGTTTGTGATTCATTTATGCCACATGGTAGTTTTTTGGGATCTACCACAGAAATTATACAAAAATGTCAGACATATAAGACTATTTTGCTAACATGCTTCCTTTGAAAAGAACAAAGTAAAACAGGGTTTGCTTCATCTACTTGGTTTAAAAAATAGGTGTCTTCCAAGTTTGTACTGTTTTCATTAGAGCTACTCCAAGTTGAAAAGATGTGAGATGTGTTTTGGTAAAGGACTAAAATATCCATGAAAAACACACAGAAATATAAACCACTGACTGCAGTGTGGAAGTGCCATTAACCACAGTATCTTCAGGATTCCCGGCTCTCACTGGAGATGCTAACCTGATGTTTCTTGGGTTCTCCATCACACAAGTTGATCCAGAGTCATCAACTCTAACAGAAAGCACTCTCGGGAATAACATGGTTTCCCTTGCTCAATAAAAAAAGCAAAACCATAGAACTACTTCTGGGTTCTACCCAGGCACACTCTGCCAGTAAGGTATTCCTGTTGAGCAACTATCCTTTCAAACTTGCATCTGGTCACACCTGAGTGTAAGAGTCTTTTGACAGGTCCTTCTGTAAGTGTAAATGAGTACGTTGGTTGAAAGTGATAAAGCTCTGGTCTTTTCTGCCCTACTGCATTACTGCCGACTGATTTGGTCACGATACGGAGCTACGATGTCATGCTATCTAATGGCTAGTAGAGTAACTTCCATTTCTCTGCTAAATAAAGCAGGGATCCTTACCAGGAAATATGTTTGGGATAGTCTTCCCCCTCTTCCATCCTCTCCTCTGGGACCATTATATCTCCACAGTTTGGTGACAGATGTTGTCACACAGGTGGATTATTAGGCTAATCTGTCATCTCTGTATTTGATTAGGCAAAACATGGTGTAGAATGACCAGGAACAACTTATAAAAGACCTTGTAGAATTAGACCTTTTCCACATTAACTCTTGGAAGCATGGGGTAACTTTAGCCACCCAGTATTCAGATTTGCACCACAGCATATACCTATCTTTGCCAGTTCATTAATCTGACGCAAGACAAGGACCAAATAAACCAAGATTTAAGTGACTCAAAGCAGGCTAGGCAAAGCCCACCCCAACTTCACAAGGACAGCTTAAAAGTTGAATGCATTTTATGGCTCTACAACCTCTCCTGAGTAAACCCCCACGCATATTCTCACCACACTGCAATTTGGCCTGGCTAAATCTCACGGTCTCAAGCCGCTCTGCTCCCACTAAGCTCGCAGTGAATGAGCCAACGTAAAAATTAAGCAGCAAAAAGATATCATCGCCAGATAATATTCCCCAATTCTTGACACCTCATCATTTGCTTCAGCAGTTATTGACACGAAAGCCATATGGCTTTCAACTTATTGAGTCTTTTCTTCTAATTGTTTCCTGCTGACCCAACTTTGTTTTCTGTTTTCTGTTGACCGAGTTTTTCTAAAGGTCACAACTGAGTCTTCTATCTGTGGTACCAGAAAGAGAAACTCTAGCAGTAAGAATAGCAGCAACCATTTGCTCTCCAGTCCAGAAGATACGTAATACTGACATAAGCACGTAAACCCCCCCACCTCCAAACAAAAAACCCAACCCAACCAACCAAAAAAAACCCCACTAGTGTAATCTCCACATCGGGCATAGCCTGAGTCATTATCTCCAAATAACAGAATACAGAATAATCTCAGTACAGGTAAATTAAAAACTTGTATGTAAATATTTTATTCTCTCATATTTTGCAAATCAGAAAGCAGTGTTTGGTAATAAAAAATAATACAGAATTATTATTTTTTCTTCCAGTCCATGCTCATATATTACCAGGTTTTCCACATTACAGATAAAACTGTCTCTTACAGTCTGAAGATAACATTCACTTCTGGTATATTCTGTACTTCTGGCTTATTTAATATTAGTCTTCTGAACTATTTACAAATATATTACAACCTTTAAACCTCAAAGCAAAGGAGTATTTCAATAATCAATCTGACATAAGGATCAGTAGCTCCTACGTAACTTCAGTGTTTAAGAGAAACTATACACGCAGTGCGGTAGGTCTGAATAATTTATATCTTTAAAAAAAAAAAGAAAAGCATTGAAAGTTTTGGAGTATAAAACTTTTGCATTGCAGTGGTACCTACTGACCCGCCTCGACTGGAGGACAGGAATGTGAGGTGATGTCACTGTGCTTGTAGAGAGCCTCGTCTAAGTCCAGTGCCTTGCTGCTCAGCTTGACGGTCATGCAGCCGTGGTAGGACGCGGTGACCGGAGTGGAAGTGACAGGAACGTCTGTGTGAAAGGGGAGACAAACATCTCTGATGGCTCGTTTTGAATAAATACCTGCCCTACCTATGCTCAGATGGCTATCACGTCAATGAATTCAAGCTCTCCTCTTCACTCTGGGATTTCTACCTCCCCCCCGCGCCTCTCACCAGAAGGCAAGAGCACGATTCCAGACGCGGGGAAAACGCCATCTGCTCTCGTGCCCCAAAGCCCTTCTCCCAGGCTGAACCCTTCCTCAGCTGCTCTGTGTCTCTGCAAAGCCTCCAGTCCTGATAAAACTATGTGCTGCACAGCAGCAAGGCTTCACTCCAGTTGCACACTGTGTTCACGCTGCTTTCCGTCTCAATGCTTTCCCCATCTCCATCTTTGGACCCTCTACTTTGTCGTTAATGGAGTTGTTATACCTTCCTCTAAAGCTTTCCCTCTCTCCTTTCAAAATATCTGCCACAAGATTATAGGAAGAACTTCACGACAGGAAGGCTCCTCCTATATGCAGCCTCTACCACTTGCCAGACTCATCTTTACTGTGATTATGCTATCTATCAGCACAAGAAGGTTGCTGGCATTTATCAGAAAGGTGTGGGAATGCATCAGTTGAGCTGGTAACGCTAATGCAACTGATTTTTTCTATGGAGATCCACTGGTGACATCATTTTAATCAGTTTACCAGAGGCAGAAAACAAATAGCAAGGAAGAAGACACTGAGTACCACCCAACAGACT